ATTTTCTCAATTATTCATAATATTTAAAAATGAATCTTCTCACCTTGGGATTTTAATGACTTAATGTGATTAACAAATTTTAAATTTTGATCAATTATGATACCGAGGTATTTTGTTGTGTTTTTCATTTTAAATATAAAGTTGTCATTTATTTGTATGTTAAAACAAGGCCTTTGTTAATTACATTGCTCACTATGGATCTACTTTAACACAAAAATAGTTTTGTGGCTATAAGTTGCCATAACCTATCGTCGCAAAACTATTAATAATTTGAACATAGTAAGTAGTATTAATATAACATCAAGTAATTTTTTAAAATATAGTACATGATCTGAAAACAGAAATAATTTATAATAAATGCGGATAAAACGAGGCGTAAAATAACAACAAATTAAGGAAATTATTGTTGTTTTTTTTTAATTTCTGTAGACAGCCTATTAAATTTTTTTAAACCTTTAATAAAAATCGTATTTTGGGAACTTTTAGTGATGGCTTGCCGTACATGAAAGTCATATTGGCTTCTTGTATTATAGTTGTGATATTGCGAATTATATTGATTTTTTTCTAATAGATCTGATGCGATGGTACTATGTCATTTTTATTTTCTAAATAAATATCCGTCATGTACTGAACATAATTCTGAACTGAAAGCCAATTTATTTCTTTTAACATAGTTGCAATACTCATCCTTATGTCCTTTATTGATAGAATATAAATAGGCGAAGTAAAGAGCCCAAATATTTCACATGAGCAGACTTAAGAGGTAAAGGGGCCAATTATTATTGAATAAATTGCTCGAATAAGTTTTTAAACCCTAATCAAAAGGCGATATAGAATGGTTTTAAAAATCAAGGCTTGAAAATCAAGGCTTGTGAAAATCATGATATGGTTTAACCTAAGTAATGCCAATGCTTCACAAACCAAAAAATTCAACGTCCTAATACTACTATCGGCTTTCGGTCTTTCGTTCCAAGTTAAATCATTTCTCGTTTTTGTTACGCTACGAGTTTACCCTTGTGGGCCTCAGTCTCGATAAGGTGAGAACCACCATTTTAGCGTCTCTCGAATTTCTCATTGGTTTGTTTTCACTTTAGGGATGTAGGGGTGTATTTTTCATAATTCCATAGGAATAATAATTGAGAATGATATATTTTCATATTTCCAAAATTAAATTTCAGTTTTTCGGATCTCAACCGATTTTCTCACTTTCATTAATTTTTTGTAAATTCAATTTTAAATAAAAGCACTTGCCACCATATTTTGATAGAACCGCTTTTCTCTATCAATAATTATCTATGAAAATTTTATTTTGATCAGAAAACAGATGAACGCAGAAATCATAGGGTCGGATCTTATACTACAAGTGGCTCGTATCAGGAGCAAACAAATAAAATAATATTTGTTCCCATAATAATGGGAAGGATAATTTGGAATAATCCTTACACGTTGTATTATCATCAGTCAAGCAAAATTCAGAGCAGACATTTTTCAGTAGGTCAGACAATTTTTATAACAGAAAACATAAAAAAATTGGTCGTTTTTTACTTTCCTATCTGAATCCGATTTGACTATTTTCGCGATGATGTCTGTGTGTGTGTGTGTGTGTGTGTGTGTGTGTGTGTGTGTGTGTGTGTGTGTGTGTGTGTGTGTGTGTGTGTGTGTGTGTGTGTGTGTGTGTGTGTGTGTGTGTGTGTGTGTGTGTGTGTGTGTGTGTGTGTGTGTGTGTGTGTGTGTGTGTGTGTGTGTGTGTGTGTGTGTGTGTGTGTGTGTGTGTGTGTGTGTGTGTGTGTGTGTGTGTGTGTGTGTGTGTGTGTGTGTGTGTGTGTGTGTGTGTGTGTGTGTGTGTGTGTGTGTGTGTGTGTGTGTGTGTGTGTGTGTGTGTGTGTGTGTGTGTGTGTGTGTGTGTGTGTGTGTGTGTGTGTGTGTGTGTGTGTGTGTGTGTGTGTGTGTGTGTGTGTGTGTGTGTGTGTGTGTGTGTGTGTGTGTGTGTGTGTGTGTGTGTGTGTGTGTGTGTGTGTGTGTGTGTGTGTGTGTGTGTGTGTGTGTGTGTGTGTGTGTGTGTGTGTGTGTGTGTGTGTGTGTGTGTGTGTGTGTGTGTGTGTGTGTGTGTGTGTGTGTGTGTGTGTGTGTGTGTGTGTGTGTGTGTGTGTGTGTGTGTGTGTGTGTGTGTGTGTGTGTGTGTGTGTGTGTGTGTGTGTGTGTGTGTGTGTGTGTGTGTGTGTGTGTGTGTGTGTGTGTGTGTGTGTGTGTGTGTGTGTGTGTGTGTGTGTGTGTGTGTGTGTGTGTGTGTGTGTGTGTGTGTGTGTGTGTGTGTGTGTGTGTGTGTGTGTGTGTGTGTGTGTGTGTGTGTGTGTGTGTGTGTGTGTGTGTGTGTGTGTGTGTGTGTGTGTGTGTGTGTGTGTGTGTGTGTGTGTGTGTGTGTGTGTGTGTGTGTGTGTGTGTGTGTGTGTGTGTGTGTGTGTGTGTGTGTGTGTGTGTGTGTGTGTGTGTGTGTGTGTGTGTGTGTGTGTGTGTGTGTGTGTGTGTGTGTGTGTGTGTGTGTGTGTGTGTGTGTGTGTGTGTGTGTGTGTGTGTGTGTGTGTGTGTGTGTGTGTGTGTGTGTCTATGTGTGACTGTATTCAAAAAAGAAGGAGGTTCTCAATTCGTCGTAATATTTTTTTATGTGTGTTCAGCGATAATTCTTTAACACGGTGTCCGATTTCAAGGATTCTTTTTTTGATAGAAAGGGGTTACTTAATTGGTAGTTTCATATTAATTTGGTCAAAACTTAATAATTGGGTCCATTGCAAAATCCTCAAACTCTTCATTTTTAATGTATGTTTAAGGGTAATTCTTTACCACCATGCCCAATTTCTATGGTTCTGTTTTGTTAGTTATGGGCTACCTCAGGGGTAGTTCCATATAAATTTGGTTAAAATCTAATAACTGAGTCCATGAGAAACATCCTTAAACTCTTCATTTATAATGTATGTTTAGCGGTAATTCTTTACCACCATTTCCAATTTCTAAGATTCTTTTTTTGTTAGTAAGGGGTACCACCATTTTGAAGTCGATTTTTTAAAATTACTTTTAATACTTATAAACTTAAGCTTTATTCGGGCAGCGGAGAACTGATAAGATTTTGAGTAGAGTCGGATAGTCTTGGGGGGTACTTTATAGAGGGTCATTTTTACTTTCCCATCAGTATACACATAAAAAAAATATACGAATCAAAAATTTTTTGTGTGCGTACGTGCGTGCGTGCGTGAGTGCGTGCGTGCGTGAGTGCGCACGTGCGTGCGTGCGTGCAAGTCCTCGGTAAATCATGAACGGATACAAAAAAAACACTAAATATTAAACTTTATTTTGGCTTGCGGTGAACTGATTAGATTTTGCGCACAGTCGGAATATCTGGGGATACTTTATGGGCGGTCATTTTTATATTTTATAAAATATATTTGTTATTTACATTTGGAGGAGAAAATTCTTAAAATAAAAGTTACTTCTAAAATAATTCTCTGTAATTCTTGCCTTATACAAAATTTTCCTAAATTAGTCCGTATTCGAGAAATTTGACAAAATGTAAAACATTTTAATTTTTATGAAAAATGTTCAAATAGAAGTTGTTTGTGATATAATTCTCTATAATTCTTGTTTTATACATAATTTCTCTAAAATAAATAAATCGTATTCGAGATATTTGAGAAAAAGTGTAAATTCCGAATTTTGAAGAAAACACAAAAACAGATAAAGAAACCACATTTAATTTAAACTTAGGCTTTTTTCCGGCCTGAAGTTATTATATTTTGGATAGAGTCGGAACATCTGGGGGTACTTTATGGGAGGTCGTTTTTATATTTTATGGAATATATCTCTTATTTATATTTTGTGTAGAAAATTGTCTTTATAAAAGTTACGTCTTATATTATTCCCTATAATTTTAAAATGGTCCGTATGCGAGAAATTTGACAAAATTTAAACAATTCAAATTTTTATGAAAATTTTTTAAATAAAAGTTGTTTGTGAAATAATTTTTTATAATTCTTGTTTTATACATAATTTCTCTAAAATGGACCGTGTTCGAGACATAAGAAAATGTGTAAATTTCGAATTTTGAAGAAAACTCAAAGACGGAAAAAGAGAAAAACATTACATTTTAAACTTAAACTTTATTCCGGCCTGAATTAATATATTTTAGGCTGAGTCGGAACATCTGTTGGGAGGGAACTTTATAGGGGGTCGTTTTTATATATAATGGAATATATCTGTTATTTACTTTTGAAGAAGAAAATTCTTAAAATAAAATTTACTACTAAAATTATTCTCTATAATTCTTGCCTTACACAAAATTTTTCTAAAATGGTACGTACTTATTCGAAAAATTTAATAAAATATGCAAAATTCTGATTTTTAAGAAAATTGTTAAACTAAAAGTTGTTTGCGATATCGATCTTTATACTTTTTAGTTTTACATGATTTCTCTAAGATGGACCGTAATAGAAAAATTTAAGGAAAAGGGTGTAATATAAATTTTCAGTATTTTCGTTGACAATAAATATATATAAAAAATGTTTCGAGTTAGATGCACCTGGAAAATGTATATATTAAGTTTATCCTCCAAACATTTACAGAGGTGCTCTAATAGGTTGTACAAAATAACCGGAAAAGGTCTGTAATAACTAGATAGGAAAGTCATGTGTTGGACATATCAGATATTTTTCATTTGCATCATCGTATTTTGGAAACTATAAAACTATCGAATTTTTTTAATTGAAGTACGACATGACCTCTATTATCAATGCTATATTTATTGCTAAATATTGTTAATTATTTTAATATTTAAGTCGCGACAAATGTTTAGAAAAAATCTATTGAATAATTTTTATCTTTAATGTATATCTAGAAAATCATATTTTTAAATTAAGACAATAATTTTGGGTAGAACGAAACACGTGAAATAACATTGAGTACGTACTCCAAAGATTAGCGTACGATCATTTTTGATATAAAAACAGCTATTCCTATTTTTTAGCCTATTCAAAAATTGATCTTGGCAGTACCAAAATGATAGTAATAAAATCTTTAGTAGTTTTTGCAGTACTTGCTCTGGTACACAGTAAGTTCTATATTTTATACCGAATTTTTATTTTGTTTTTATAATTATTTCAAGGAGTTTTACTTACAACAGTATAAATTAGATTGATTGATAATAAATGTTAATTCTTGATTATACTCAGAATAAAGTACCGTAAACTGGAAGATTTGCAGATCTTAATTAATTATTAGGAAAAGATAATTATATTTTTCCTATACACGTCCCAGTTTTTATTCTACAGGGTGATAAAGTAAATTTCATAAAAACATAATTTTCTAAATATCTTCCCTTGCATTTTAGGGCGATATTTTGTAATTTTGGCATACCAAATACACGTATACATTTTACTTTTTTTCAAAAAAGTAGGTAAAAACAATACAATAAGCAACCGGAGTTGCTGTGTTGAAAATTGTACAAATACTAGCAAAAAAACAGTAAAACTTATATAAAAAATTTCAGTAGCAAAGTGGAAATTAAATCAAAGAAATAAATGGATAGATATACAATAAGAAAAAAAAATACCTTTATTTTTGTAATAATAACCATAATGCTGGAAATAGTAGACATCATAAACTTGAAAGGTTTTAAATAAACAATAAATTATCATTTTACGATGTTCTTTAATATCCCTTTATTCTTAAATGTTCATTCAGCAAGGACTAGATTTCAAGATTTCTGCCTTTGAGTATTATATGTGTTTGGAACGCAATTTTGTAACTTACCGATGAGAAATCAGTTTTAATCATTCATTCTATGTTTTCTTTCGAACAAAAATGAAAATATAAGTAACGATCCTTTTTTTATACATTTTAACTTCACGCTATTATTAAATGGTATTTTTTTATTTTGATAGAATAGGCTAATTCTTCAATGAAAACTTATTAGACTTAGGCAACTCCTCATACATTTTCCAGTTAATAATGTCTATATTTTATTATTGATTTTTATCGATTATACATAATTTTCTTTAATTTAAGCGATAAAAATATATAATAATAATATTAATAATAAATATTTTACTTGTTTTACAAATCCATATACTTTTATTAAAACTAACATATATGCTTTTTAATTACAAATTCTATTAAAAGTTGCAGAAATAGTCCATTAGTATCAAAACGAATTGGCGCTGCTGTCGCGCACGGAGCGAATATCAGTACAATTGATTAAGACATCAGCAGAGAAAAGTTTACGTTTTAGTCGTACATGAATAAAAATAACAGTTGGTGATACTGTTTTTTTTTTTAGTCTTATCAGGTCAATGAACGATTGTACAATTGGTTTTTAAGTAATTTTTAAATTTTGTGTGCTCTACCATGTAGCTATTTGGAAATGGTGTCCAATTACTTTGTATAAAATATAAAACATTTATTTTTTCTGTTTTGAGTCCTCAGCTGCTACAGCTATTCGCTTTTGTGAGTTATTTTCAGACTTTGTTATTGTTTCCCAGCGCAACTTTAGCAACATCACTGTTATATAGTATCCAACAGTGAATGGTTAAGTGGAGAATCCTACCTCTGCTTCAAAATTTCTAGCGAATAGTGTGATTTGAACCCCGGACCCTTGGATTCGGAAGTCCAAACTTGTTTAGGTTGTCATGAATCATTAATTATAGGCGTTTTCTAATATTCAAAAAAATGGTGTACAGTAAATGGCCGACTGATTTGTATCTGATGAAAATTATTCAAGAACGACTGACACTTGAGGTTTTGATATCTTAACGAACGAAAAAAACAATTTGAAATACTTTTTTGATTAGCATTAAACCTATAGGCACATGTGGGTAATACAATTGAAAACATATGTACATGCCTTCATTTTTTTGCTGTATATCGAACTCTGATAATTATATTTTAAAGGTTAGCCCACTTGGAGAATGGGTTAATAAACCCCTGTTAGTTTCTGATGGATAAAAGAACAGTTTTGATGAATGTTGGATGGCATCGAAGAATATTAAAGAACGCCTTATTTACTATCTATCTATAATTTGAAGTTGTAATAGATTGAATATTGAATATGTCAGCGATCATTTACACTATTCGGTTTTTTAGATATATACCCTTTCTAACTATTCTCTGTTATTAATTTTGTTTACTATCAAAAAATTTTACATTTTCATAATAAAATTCATACCCCGTTTCTAATTTACATTTTCCAAATGTGGTTATAAATTATTTATTGTTTTTTATAATTATTCCGTTGCTTCTACAAAAATTAATAGCTTCCAAGGATAGGTGGGATTCACGATTTTTCATAATCAGAAGAACCTTATTATCAGTAGAACAATTGATATTTTTAACAAAATGACTTAGAACTTTCAAAAAGTTTTCACAGGTCATCCAACCACTTGGATAAACTTAACCTAGTGGACCAGTGTCTGTAATTCCTTCCATCATTCTGGCTGGATCAAACCAATGATAAGGAAAAATCCAAACAGGGGGTAGGGCTCTACCATTTGCACAAATAATCCCTACTTGAGTGATCAATTCCCCTCTTTCTCTTGAAGTTGCTTGACCTACTTGACGGTCCCCTTTTTTGCCCCACAATTTTTTGAACCCGCTGAACCGTAGTTATTCCAGTCTGAAGAATGGACAATGATTAATAACTTTAATAATTTCTTAACCAAGTAAATCTTACCTCATCCAAGTTAAAAATTTGAGAAGCGTTAAACGAATAGCGGGTCATGACAGCTTCCAACTTGTCTTGAAATACTTTGACTGTCTCTTTGTTAAAACTTGTCATCCTAGCTTAACTCGTAGCTTCTGGCTTTCTAATTGAAAGTCTTTGGTGACGATGCATAAATCTTGAAAACCAATCGCTTCCAGCCATCTTTTCATTTGCCATTTTCTTGGAACACTTAATCCATTTTTTATCGCATATTCATACGCTAATCTTCTTAATGATTTTGGCGTCAGTCCGTAAAACATTTTAGAGCATTCAAGTAAATAGTTCTCGAGTTCTGACTCCATCTCAATAGAGAGAATAAGAGATTTTTGAAAGTTTAGCTCAAAGACCGTATTTTCAATGCCTTGATCTTTTGCATTTTTTATATAATTAAAAAGCCGACTCTTTGTTACATTATTTTTTCTGCCCTGGCCCTTATCGATAGATTATTCCTTAGCACATCGTCTACAGCTTTTTTCATAGCATCAGAACTAAACTCTCTGTTTGTTTTCTTACTATAATATCTCGGCATTGTTCTAAAAAATAGATTAGGATACAATGGGAAGACAATGGACAATGTCATGAGGAGACAGTGGACATAATGTCCACTGTCTCCCCAAAAGCATTTTACAATATTGTGCGTTATTAAAATTTTCCACAAAAAGAGAGTGGCATTTTTGTACCATAACCTTACTAAATATTTCCTATAGGGTACCTCTAGAAAAAATACCGTAAAACATAGTTATTTATTTTCTGAATACACCTTAGCACACCATATATAATTACATCATACTTACCAAATAGAGATTTCACTAAGTAGCTTTTTTGTTTAATAATATTCAGGCGACACGCGTGCATGGAGCAATGGTTGGCGACTAAAGGAACGTGAAAAAGTATGTCGTTCCCAATCTAAGGTAATAATGGCGCGATATTTGAAATGTCCATAGTTTCCTCGTGTCCATAGTCTCCTCAGTCTCCCCTATTTATTTATTTATTTATTTACGGATTTCCAGTACATATCGAAAATACAAAATTGAAATACATATTAAAAATACAAAATTATTAAAATTAAAATTAAAATTAAAATTAAAATTAAAATTAAAATTAAAATTAAAATTAAATTAAATTAAATTAAATTAACACAGGTTACATATACAGACAGATACCTATTTTTAAAACCGCAGAAAAATTAACTATTAAAAGTAGACATAAAACTATAAGAAATAATGAACATAGAAGGTTAAGTATTAATAGATAAGATATAGTTATTTTAATGTTATTTACAGCGATTTTAAAGCATTTTTGAACGTAGTTAGTGATTTGCAGAAGATATCTTACGAACAATGATTATATTCACGGGGCAAACGAGACAACGGACTATGATAACCATAATTGGTTGAGTGTGAATGTATATAAAAGGTAGGTCTATTTCTGTTCGTTCTTGGCCCAGCATTAAAACAAAATTGTGACAATAAATCAGGACAGTTGATATAACCATTGATCAATTTATAAACAAACAATAGATCTGCATCAAGTCTACGTTTCTCCAGTGATATTAAGTTACAAATACTACCTATTGATTGATAGTTTGTTTCACTCCACCTATAACCCAGTCTATAAGCATAGTGTCTAAGAAATTTCTTCTGCACTCTTTCTAACATATTTATATCACATTGATAAAAAGGACACCACACAACAGATCCATACTCAAGACTTGACCTAACAAGTGATGAATAAATAAGTCTTAAATTGCTCAGAGATAGGTCTTTACTATTTCTAATTATAAAACCGATATTCCTAAACCCTGTAGATTTTAGTTTTTCGATATGATTCTTGAAGTTTAATTCTTTATCCATAATAACGCCGAGATCTTTGGTCTCATTCACCCTTTTTAGAATGTTGCCGTTAACCTTGTAATCATGAATAAAAGTTGCTATTTTCCTAGAGAAGGTCATGGCATAACATTTAGAAGTGTTGAGGTCAAGAGCATTAAGTGTGGTCCAGTTGTAAAATCTATCTATATCAGCTTGCAACAAATTACAGTCTTTATCGTTTGTTATTGACTTAAATATTTTCAAATCGTCGGCAAATAGGAGATATTTTGAGTGATCAAATACTTCACCAATATCGTTAATAAAAAGATTAAATAAAATTGGTCCACAATGGGACCCCTGTGGTACTCCAGAAGGAACGTTTAGTGCGTTTGATACAAAATTATTAATTTTGACGCACTGCACCCGATTTGATATGAAACTTTTGATCCAATTCAAAATTCTTCTATGTATCCCAAAAGACTCAAGTTTACTTATTAATAAATTGTGATTAACTCTATCAAATGCTTTTGAAAAATCTGTATA